CCGCAAATTTCCCCATTGTGGGACTAATAAAAGACTTCTTATCTTATCTTATTAACCGCAGCAGCCAACCAGCCTCACGACTATCCTACCAAGCCCTTATCTTCAGATCAACACGATTCGGGACACGCTGGAATCACCCCTCGGGGATTTGAATGATTGCTCTCTCGAGCACCTACGGGGCTGACGGAGAGCAGCACTGACTCAGCCTTTGTCACAAGAGGGGACAGAGAAATTCTCTGAATTCCAGGGAAGCCATCAAAGCGCTACACAGGAGGGCATCCCTTAACATCCCCTTCACACACACAAACATGCACACTTACAGACCATGTTTACATGAGTATTTTTCAATGTTGCTTCCTTTATTTGACTTCAACATAAAATAACTTTTAACAAACATTTGTTGAAGACCATCTATGATATTTAAATGTGCAAACTGATTAAATCCGAGGCAACAGACCAAACCATTTGTTGCCTGCCCAACCCAAACCCCCCACCCCCCGGGGTGCAGTTCACATTTACTGAGCAACCGACACACAAACAATGAAGTCGACCTACACAGCCTCGGATTATGATTTGCTATTTAGAATCAGACAGAAGAAGACGTGGCTGATGACTCAAGTGATCTACATGACAGGGGTCTGTGTAAAGGAAGCATGTGTGTAGAAGCATGTATGTGCATCCCTACCCTGTGCGTGGACACACACTCACACACTCGACCTATATCTGCATTGCGGGAATGAGGGAAACATTGGGGCCCTGGGGCCATCAACTCCCTCATGAATAACAAGCATTCAGCACAGCAGACAGACTGCTGTAACACACACACACACAACAGAGATGTGTGATGGTATCTCCCTGACCACAGCTCCAAAGCAGATGTCTGTAAAAGCTGCAAATATGCTTTCTGTTTTGTTTTGATTTCAGAATTATGATTTATGGAATTAATTTTTTTAATGCCATATAGTATTATTAGCTGAATGCTAAAATAACTTCCTCAACTTGTATAAGTGAAGGGTTTGGGTATCTTGTTAATGCCAGCTCAAAAGGCTTCCATAAAAATTTAATTAAATCTCTGGACCTTACGCAATCCTTTAGTATGGAAATGCTCAAATTGAAAGCTACTGCATATTAATTTCCGCCCAAAACTAAAAGTGCGAGCGTACTGGTCAGTATGCTCATCACAACCCACCGCCTACGAAGGAAGGGGGGGCTAGACATTGCCGTGGTAACGCGGCAAACACAGAGAGACAGCCACAAACATTCAGGCAGCCATCTGAGTGGCAAGCGGGAGAGCGGGTCACGCCAACACACAAGCGTCAGTGCACTGCCATGACCGAGCGTCACTCTGTCCCTCTATGAAAGGCAGATTGTGAGGGCTATTTCTGGAGGGCCTGAAAGACTGCAGCCCAGCTCTGGAGGGATGGAGGAAGTGGCTGCCCACAGGCAGGCACCGCTGGCAGCATCACACACACTCCTCTCTCCTCATGCTCAGTCACTTACTTCATCTTGCTTTCAGCACGAGAGGACTCTATTAACCCACTGAGCTCAATGTAGTGAAGCTTCCTTTAGAACTTCCCTTGCGTTCACACTCTCAGTTTGAAATGCACCTGTGAGTATACCACATGAATTACTCATAGCTTAGCCACAATAATAGATATCCCCATCTTAAACGCTACATAGTAGGACTGTGTGAATGACAACATATATACTGCATGAAATTTCATATTACACTCACATATTTTACTGTGATGCAAATCACCCTTTACAGAAATTTGCTTTCAAAGACAACACACAAACAAACAAACACTGAAGAGCGTGAACTCAACACAGAAATTTGAACAGGAAAACACTGACCAGCCTCCACAAAACATGGTGCTTATGTGCATGATACTTCAGAGAACAAAACTTTTTTATCGTGTATTTTTTGGACGTGTCAGAGCTTTCGAATGATAATGACAAAGCGGGCAATAAAACTGGCGCCAGAAGTGAAATATTAAATTTTGAATTGAGACCCCGAGAAACACAATCACTACACTGTCCCAGTCAGACACAGCACACTGCTTTCAGATTTATTGACTATGTTATCAAGCTTAAGGCAAGCACATTACAAGAAAATTGCAATGTCACAACTTTAGAACCATGACAACACTGTATAACAGCACCAGACAACCTGAGTTTTGTAAACACAAATGCCTCCAGGCGTGCTCTGTCTGCCCTGTGAGCAGCTCTTTGTCTCCTCACTGGCTTCTAATGTTGTGAATGGTCCCAGCTTGACTGCAAGCTGTCGGGGTGTATGTGTGTGTTTTGTGTGTGTAGAGGAGGCTGGGCATGCCAGAACTGTCACTCCAGCCTGAAAACAACCGCCCTGCATTCTGTTTAGAGGCAGCCACAGCGATGACCAACACCCTCAAACTGCAGCGCCAAAGGCTCACAGATGGAGCTACAATGGGGCCTGTATGTAAGAGTCTGTGTGTCTCTTCACTGTCTTGAATGAGACCGCCTCGCACAGACACACAAGCCAAACAAGCCCCTTCCCTGGTTATCACACACGCACATGGGAACAAACTGGATTCACGCACTAAGCATTCTAAAAAGTCTCTTTACGGTCCCCTCCTCTATTTCCTGTTTGGGCCTCACACTGTGCATCTAATTGGCTGCCAGACCCTCGGTGCAGTGAAGGCACCCCAGTCAAAACACAGGGTCATGCCGTGTTTCTCAAGAGACCCTTGCTAGGAGGACCACACCCCAGCAACTATGGACTCTTTGCAACCCACCAGCAGCCATTTTGGCTCCAAGTAAGATCCACTAATAGTACAACTTAGCATCTAGGTTGAGCACAATGTGAGCAACCTGATACCTTAGCAGACAATGACAGAGGGTGAATGGAAGATTCAAGGCTCTGCCCTTAGGTAAGTGTCTTTTAGACTCTGTCAAGAGTTGTTTAAAGAATTTAACTCAGACAAAACTCCATCGAAAATCATAAAAAAGTAAGTGTTTGTCAACACATGAAGTGTCTCTTGGTGACGCCACTCCAAGAGGCAGATGTGCAGCGATGATATTAGCTCAGAAAACCTGTCAGTGCCCACGCTTGCAAAGCATTCCACTACTAACTAGCAACAACACACACACGTATACAGGATGCTTGAGATATTTAGACACAAGAGGAAACTCCACTGTGCTGCAGAATTCCTGGTATTCTTGTGATTGGGGATCTTGATTCGTGGCCAAGTATTTTGGCACAGTGTTGTTTCATTTCTCATTGCCAGCAGCACTGCGGCTGGAAAATACGATAAAAAAAGTGCACAAAAGTTGTGCATCCACTAGAATAGAATACCTTTAATGTCATCACACAATGAAGCATGGCGAAATAACAGTACTACTGATACTGTAGCAGACACTGGTTATTGATTGGTGAGCATGTCTACATAATCTCTCTTAATAAAATCGCTATTTCTTTTTGGAGCTTTGCAATAATGTGTGAGGAACCAGACACAACTAAAGGAGCAAAAGACAGCATCTCATGCAAAGACTGAGCAGGAGCATGTTGATCTCACCAATAAGGAAGAACTTGTGAAGGTGAAGACGTTCATATTGGCTTGTGAGTGCATCAAATGATGATAGCAATGACATAATGGTGGGAGCAATCTCATACCAGTGAATGGTGACGTTTAACACAACCTCCGCTTAGAAGCGCCGAACGAAGTTGCTGCAAACAGTGTGGCAGCAGTAGTGGGGCAACGCCAGCAATCATCATCGCCCTTAAATGTTTAGCTTTACAAGGCATGGGAGCCTTGATCCATTAAAGCCACTGCGGCTTTATTGTCTGGTTCCCAGATGCTTTTTACAGGCCTGTTCTTCTCTGCATTGCATTCAGGCAGGGTAGAACAGGAAGGAGAGTTTCTGCAGCGTTTGCAGTGTCCACGTTATAACATCCTGTATTCAGCCCCTTCTGAAGAAAAATACAAGGGGCAGTAAGTGCTTCCATGCAATCAGAAATGTGATGGAGGCTGCACCAGCATCATCAAGGTAAAAGCCAGCTCTCTGGCCACTCCGCTGCACAGAGGGCTTGTCATGTTACAATTTCCCTCTTCTGAATTAGTCATAGGCAAAACCCTACTCTAAATAAAAGGCTGCAGCACGCTACAAGCAGCATGCTCCTGTCGGACAGGCAGGGTGAATATTTCATGATTAAACAGGCCATTATACTGGAAAAGATCTAGGCCAAGGCTCAGGCTGAAGGGAGGAGGAGGAGGAGGGGGTTCAGATAACGGTCCCAACCCCGTCCCAACAACACAAGGGAACGCAGCTCCGGTCCAAGGGGGTTCAGGGAGGGGCAAAGCCATCTGGGTTAATCCACACAGAACACGTACAAAGAAAACAATCCGCGACTGCGCCGAGGAGCAAAGATTTGCACTGAATTTTTGCTTTAAATCAGGTCCGTGCAGGAAACCGAGCAGGGTTGCATCGTGCTGACTGTCCCCAGCAGGAGCTCCGGAGCCTGCAGCCACAACTCTGACAGCTCGCTAACTAGCAGTGTGTTAAAATGCCGACACCGGTAACACTCGGTGAATGAGACACGACTGAAACGGGTGAATAAATCCGTGCTCAGGTCACAGTGGAGCAAACAGGACCCCCACCCCCCTTCCTCCCCTCTCCTCCTCTCCCCTCCTCCCCTGAGTCCGGCTCCCGTTAGCTCTTAGCAACTTTTCTGTCAACACAAACTGTTTGTTTTGCTAAAGCTAAAACACGTCTGCTCATTGAGCGCCGTGGTTAGCCTTAGCATTCAGCACGCCCCCCCACCCTCGTTGGAAAATGCGGGACACCAGCTGACAGGCGAGCATTAAAGTACACTAATCCCGTGAGGCCTGCGAGTCCCCGGGCTACAGTGAATCCCAGCGTCGGGTGAACCGCGAGCGGCGACCGGCCTGGTCCCCGCCTCCGCCGCTGCACACGGCTAACGCTAACGGGCTAGCAGGGCAGGCTAACTCAAGAGCACCCACCTCGCTTGTCGAGGTCGTAGCCGACAACTAAGAAGTAGTCGGCGAGCCTGGCCATCTTCGGAGCTCACGGCGACGGGCCTTTCGCGCTGGATCCTCTGCTCTCTCTGCCGTCAAAGGTCCATTCACGTCCTGCCGGCAACAGACGCATCACGGGCGACTGTAGCATCCTTCCAGCTGCACCCCGCCGCCATACTGTCAGACTGCCTTGCCCTGACAGCGCAGAGCCGGAGTCTGCGCACTGAGGGGCTTTAGGGAGGGGCCGCTCGGCAGGAATGTCCCATGCGAGGAGCGGAACCAGCCCCGGGGACCAGCAGTCTGACCAAAACCCGTATAAAAAACAGTGATTAAGGAGTGAACGGTGGTGGTTATTCCAGGAGGACTAAACTGAAGAGAATCCACAAACATCCAGTGGAAATGCACCATTTTAAAATGGTCATTTTCATTCATGGGGCCCACAATTACTTGTTGTGCCCTAGATTATCACCAGAGAACACAGGCCCACTGCACATGATCAACCAATATACAATATTAATGCACAGAGAGAACTATTTCTGCACAAGTCCATGTGCCTGCTGAGTGAAAATCTCACCATGGGTTTGGGCGATAAAAAGATAACAATCCTTAAATTCAATATAATTATTCTTCACTAGCAATATAACAAAAATTCAATATATATACGACATATTGGTAAGGACATAAAACACATGATTATTTTTGCTCTACCTCAAATTTATGACATGTTTCAAAACCACAGTTAATTGTCTTGTTTTTCTAATGTTGAGCAAAAATCAGTCTTTAAACTTCCATCCATCCATCCACTCATTATCTATACTGCATATACTTTGAGGTTGCAGGGGTCTTTAAATGTGAATTTAGTAATGATTTGATCCTTATATAATTGAATTTGTACAAAGCTACTGCATAGCTAGACACTAACATGATAAATGAAAATGGACATTCAATTTATTTGAGTTGAAACCAGGTCAAGTGTCAGAAATGAACTATTTTGACAATTAATTTCCGTTTTTGAAGAGATATGTCGAATATTCTGGGATTCCAGTTTCTCGATTGGGTGAATTTTCTGTTTTTATACGATCTTAAACCGAATGTGTTTGGGTTTTGCCATTTTTGACTGTATCTCCAGCAGCAGTGGAGAAACAGTCAGGAAACACAGTCAAAGAGAAAGAGGTGTGTGACTGCACAGGATGCCGAGCTGTGGATGTTGTGGTTTTGTGATATTCACCTTAGACATCCTGGTCACTCCAGGATGTATGATGTAGATTAAGTAAATTAAGGCATTTGAAACAGTGTCCTCATTGGCTTTAGGAAATTGAGAAGATTATGGACAGGTTAATTAATAATACTTTAAGTAAATGTAGAATTACCTTCCCATGTCACATATGTTGCATACACAGAGTTCAAACAAAGATTGATATTCTCAATCATATTGCTTTGTTTTTTTGTTTTTTTTAAATGCTTAAAAATGTAAAACTACAACATATCCCACACTAAATAAGCAAGATAAGAGAAAAGTCATATTGACATATTGTACTAAAATCTTGTTACCCTTGCAACCAATTGGATCATGGCCTGTTGGAAAACTGTGTTAAATAAATCGAGTTTCCTCACCCACAGTTACAACTGAAGTTGGCACTTTGTTGGGGGTGCAGTTTAAAGTCATCCTTTATTTGGTACATCCAAGCAGAGGGTGCGTGTCTGGGATTGTCCAGTGCAAAGGTCCAAACCATCAGAGGAGCAATTAGTCTGACCACCATCTATAAAGAATAAGCTAAATTGTCTCAATCTTTGTGTTTGGCTCATAAAGGACTTTTTCTTTTATTCAAGTCAGAGTTAAAACAACACTCACATGCACATGTATATGTCAAGTGTGTAAGTGATAGTTTGGTCAAAATGAAACTGAACTAAACGATTTCCCAAAACATTCATTTCTTTTATCTCGCATATTTTCTGCAGCCTTTAGTTGAAAACAAATGGTATCAGTAAGTAAATATAGATATAAATATGAGGAATGTTGAAATTTGTCTGTAGGACTACTTCGATTATGCTTCAGCTGCAGAAACATTGTCATGCTGTTGCAGTGTCAATTTGAATGTGCAGATAACATGTCAGGGGGAGGTGAGAGAGGCCTGAGGGCCAACAACCATGTGGCCTGTCCTTGGCTGTCAGCACTGTAACAGCCTTGAGAGAAGTCCAACACTTCCTGTGCTGGGACCTTTGACCCAAAGTGCTTATCACTCCCTGGTTGAAAACAATCCCGAGCATGAGATGTCACATTTTTCTTCAAGGGCTTTGTTTTGCCAACACTCAGAAACAACTTGTCTCCCACTATTCTCCCACAGTTATCTGAGACCCAGTGTGGGTGACTGCAGGACGGCGCTGGCCGCCCTCTGGTAAACAGGGCCTGTTCGGACAACCACAGCTTTGTTAACAGGAGATAACATGACTCTCAAGCTGGTCAGTGAGCGCTAGTTTCAGGGGGAGATGTATCGAGGTCACCGGTGGTTTTTGTTCTCACAGCTGATGTTAACTGCATCCTGACCTTGAGCTACACTTGCCATAGATACGCAGCAGATTGGAAAGAAGGGGAGATCAGTCTGCTGCAGACTCTGCAACTGTCCAAGTGCTCAGTCATCACAGATGTTCCCTGAAATAAATATGCAATTCTTTGTGTCTAGTTTTGTTTTTCTGTTCCTCTTTTAACAAGACAGTCTTGGAGGTATTTTGCATTTTTTCGACATGTCATATTTGTTCTAAGATGCTGGAAGGATATGCAGAACCATTTACTGAGAGCATATTTTGTGCAAAGTGAAGCCAGTTTCAGGGGAAGAGAAGAACGCTTACTCACTTTGTCACATTGGGTTACAAAGATTAACACCACTCTCATATCTGCAAAGCAGTTAATATAAAGCAGAAGCAGTACAGCTTAACTTTGCACAAAGCCTGGATAGGGATACAGGTAGCCCATCTCTATCAAAATAACAAGAGTCCTCAGAAGGCATGAATGTTAGGACTGTCCTCTAAGGTCAACTTCAATTCTGTCAATCAAATAATTGTGCAAGGAGTATGACTTGGAACTTTTATGGACTCAGTCCTGTTTTAAAAAGACCAACCCAGAAAACTGTGACGCATGCAGAGGCTGGTGGTGGAAACTGAAGGCAGAACGAGGCAGAGTTGCACACGACTCATATCTGTTGACTCCTCTGACACCCTCAGTTCCAGTGTTGACTTTCAATGAACTCAACCGACTACTTGAGACCAAATGCCAGACCAAGCCAAAGCTTGGAGGGAGCGATGCTCCACACTGCAACAGCTGAGCTATGAGCAGGACAGACACTTTTATTTTTCTATCTCTGCCTAGGAGGTAGAATTTTCATTGCAGTGTCTGTTTTTCTCAAGCAGGACTGCGCAAAAATTATGGCTGCAGTATGGGCAAAGGAAGAACCTAATAAACTGACATATTCAAGCACCTGATATCTATGAGTGTCTGAATTTTGCATTAAACAGAATAAGACTGTTGGGTCATTGCACTTTATTGAGTGTAGCTTACTTTATTTTTACAAGTTTGGGTTTAGAGGTAAAATATTTTCTTTGAGGTTAAGTTTAATGTCTTGTAAACCTATGAGTATTAGGCTCTCAGCATGATACAAAATTAAAATATAAATATACAAATAAATGTATTTTTTCACTGTGTAAATGAGATATTTCCATATCACAGCTGATGGACAAGGGGGACCAATGCAGGCTGATAATAATAATAATGATAATGACAATAAAATGCATAGTTTAAAACTTGTGCCCTCACTAGACTCCAGAGGAATTACTTTGTTGAATCATTCATATAATAGTGTAGTGATTCTTCCATTATGTTCATTTACAATCACTCCACCATCTCTCTCCACATGTGCATGTCTATGAGCCCTTTGTGTGTGTGGGATTGTGTTTCAGGGTTAAAAAAACTGCATGTATAAAAATGAGTGTAAAAAGAATTTCCCTTTCAGGGAACAATATAGTATCTCTTCTTCTTCTTCTTCTTCTTCTTCTTCTTCCTCTTACCATCAACTGTTCACCAGCCAAGACATTTAAGGTTAAACTTTTGTTTTCTCTGGGCTTTGACTTCTTTTATTCACTTTTTAGCATTTTACTTTATTTTTTAAAATAATATTTCTCTTCGTGTTTTTATTGTTCTGAACTTCTGGTTGTTTTAATTGTACTTTATATATAAACTTGACTTGTCTTGACTCGATTTGAGGTAAGCGTGTAAGATGACCTTCGAGCCACACTAACTTTTATAGGTAATATATATGAGAATGTTGCAGTTTAGCTATTTTAATGTTCTATCATCATCATATGTATTTTTCTTTTTTGTCACTTTTAATTTCTAAGAAAAAGAAAAAGAAGAGAGGAGGATATGCACTTGTCCCATCTCTGATTCTCTATAAGTAACAGTCTAATCAGAGCTCAAAGCCACTCTTTGCAGGATGCAACAACCATGTGACTTCCTGTACAATAACCGAATACAGGAAGTGGTTTGAAGGCCTCATGCACATCATTGCTTTTCACTGGGCCATTTCAGCAATTCATTTCCCCTCAGCTCAGGTGAAGCGTGGCACATGAAACGCTTCATCAAACAGTCATTGCAGACATTAATCTGAATTCCCCTGAGCTGAGATATGCAGATGTCTTCAGAGATGTTTTCACTTTACCCTGTCACTACTCTGAGTTTCTCTTGTGCAGGTAGCTGAACTGTTTTTCCAGGTGACTGATGAATCATATACAAATATACTGTCTCTTCACTGCTGTAATTGGAACCCTTCTGTTTTGACACAAGTAAACACAGTGTGGCAAAAGACTGTGTGTATAGTAAACTGTTGTAAATCTGGATTTGTAGCTCTTGTGTTTTTACTGCAAACAATCGAGGAAGATGATCGCAGATGTAATTGTTTTGTCTCTTGTGGCGTGAAATCATCACATGCCGATTGCAATGCAAGTTTAATCCGAAAGAATGAACTTGTCCAGGGTACTGCAGCAATAAAGTCTTTTTACTTTAATTAAAGGTGAAGGACAGAGAGATTAAAGAGAGGTAATTGAAACTGAAGCAGCAGAGGCTGTTGTGTTGGTGAAGCTCCAATAAACTACACATTCCATAATGTAGCTCATTCACAACTTACCTTTGGAACCTCCCTGCATAGTCAACACCGTCATATACACGACAGCAAGGATTTACAGTAAAGCGAGGGTATGTAATATTTGCTGAATAGTGGCCCCAAGTGGTAATTAATATAGTTCATT